TGACAAAACACAAAGGGAAAGGGGAGGGTGGAGCTGCCGGGGAGAGCTGTTGCTTCTGGAGGTTTAGACCTTTGATTTCCTTGTTTTTTTCAACCACCCAGCCCCAGAATTTTTATGGGAAAACAAAGCCCTCCTGAACCAGAAATCCTTGCCCGTTCCCAAACATCCTCGGCCACCCTTGAAACTTTTATTTTGCTTTCTCTGGCGCTGCCCTGAACGCCAATCACCCCTTTATTTTGCTTGCTGGAAAGTGGGGCAGAGCAAAGCCAAACCCAACCAACCTGTTGGTGTGGAGGCTTCGCCCGCCGCCGGCAGCTTCTTGTTGTTGTTGTTCATTCCCAAACATTCCACCTGTTTTGTTTTTTTTTGTTTTGTTTTGTTTTGTTTTTTTCCCTTCTCTCTCCTCCACCAGAGATGCTTTCTCTGAAGAAATACTTCACCGAAGGCCTCATCCAGTTCACCATCCTGCTCAGCCTCATCGGGGTCCGTGTGGACGTGGACACCTACCTGAATTCCCAGCTCCCTCCTCTGCGGGAGATCATCCTGGGCCAGAGCTCTGCCTACACCCAGACCCAGTTCCACAACCTGAGGAACACCTTGGATGGCTATGGCATCCACCCAAAGAGCGTGGACCTGGACTATTACTTCACCGCCCGCCGGCTGCTCAACCAGGTGAGGGCCCTGGACAGGTTCCAGGTGCCCAGCACCGAGGTCAATGCCTGGCTGGTGCACAGGGATCCCGAGGGATCCGTGTCTGGGGGGCAGCCCAGCGCCGGATCCGGCCTGCAGGATGGCGGCAGCGCCGAGAGCGGGGTGAGGGAGAGCGGAGCCGAGCAGGGATTCGGGGAGGAACTGGAGGATTTGGGAGCCGTGGCCGCGCCGGCGAACGGAGACCTCACCAAGGAGGTAGGGAAGAGCCGCTTTTCCCGGGAAAAGTTCGGGGTGAAGCTGTTTAAAGCTGGGATTTGGGAGCTTTCTGGTGCGCGCCCAGCGAGCAGGACGGGACGTTGTGTGTGTTTGGCACTTAGGGAAAGTGTGTCCCTGCTCGGGAATGTCGCAATCCTGGATCCTGGCTCGGTTTCAGCGCTCCGGGGGTAATTCCAGGGGAAATTCCGGGGCGGTTTTTTTCCCCCACACACACTTTTTTGTTTGGTTAATTCTGGGTTTGAAAGGAAGAGTGAAAAGAGGGGGAAGGGGGTTTGGGGGCAGCAGAGCTCTCGTGACTCAGTGTTGGGCAATGGAGCAATCCAGCTGGGAATAAACAGGAGCAGTTGGGAAAGAGCCCCAGCCCAGGTGTGGAGCAGGTGGTTGGGTTACTTGGCTGGAGCCCGGCCAGGATTCGTGATCCC